TGTGCAGATCCTTGTTTATGTCAGACTGTGGCGACAGCAGCGCGGACAGTCGCTTAGCTCGCTCACATTATGTACCATATATAATGACGGGAAAACATATTTTTTTTATTACATAATATGTTATTACGAAAAAAACATCTCGTTATTACGAGAAAATATATAATTTTAACGAGATAATTGTCATATTAAAAACATGACATCTCGTTTTTATGAGAAAAGATTTTTAACGAGAAAAGATGTCGTTTAAACGAGAAAAGATGTCGTTTTGACGAGAAAAGATGTAGTTTTAACAAGAAAAGATGTCGTTTTCACGAGAAAAGATGTCATTTTAACGAGAAAATGTCATTTTAACGAGAAAAGATGTCATTTTAACAAGAAAAGATGTCGTTTTAACGAGAAAAGATGTCGTTTTAAAGAGAAAATATGTCGTTTTCACAAGAAAATATGTCGTTTTAACAAGAAAATATGTCGATTTAACGAGAAAAGATGTCGTTTTCACGAGAAAATATGTCGATTTAACGAGAAAACATGTCGTTATTACGAGAAAACGTCGTTTTAACGAGAAAATATGTCGTTATTACGAGAAAAGATGTCATTTTCACGAGAAAAGATGTCGTTATTACGAGAAAAGATGTAGTTTTAACGAGAAAAGATGTCGTTTTGACGAGAAAAGATGTAGTTTTAACAAGAAAAGATGTCGTTTTAACGAGAAAAGATGTCGTTTTCACGAGAAAATATGTCGATTTAACGAGAAAACATGTCGTTATTACGAGAAAACGTCGTTTTAACGAGAAAATATGTCGTTATTACGAGAAAAGATGTCATTTTCACGAGAAAATGTCATTTTAACGAGAAAATGTCGTTTTCACGAGAAAAGATGTCGTTTTAACGAGAAAACGTGGTTATTACGAGAAAAGATGTCATTTTCACGAGAAAATGTCATTTTAACGAGAAAATGTCGTTTTCACGAGAAAAGATGTCGTTTTAACGAGAAAACGTGGTTATTACGAGAAAAGATGTCATTTTCACGAGAAAAGATGATGTTTTCACGAGAAAATATGTCGTTTTAACGAGAAAACATGTCGTTATTACGAGAAAAGATGTTGTTTTAACGAGAAAACATGTCGTTATTACGAGAAAAGATGTCGTTTTAACGAGAAAACATGTCGTTATTACGAGAAAAGATGTGTAGCACTTGAAGCACGGCTACACGCGACTGGGTTAAGTGCGTTTTTGGGAAACGCACTTGAAACAATAACGAACGATCGTAAAATGACTCGTAGAAAACGCTCTTAAGCTCTAAGATCAATCGTTATCGAGAAACGCAGCCCTGGCTGTTGTATAGGCTATATTTCTTGCAAATATACATCTCATATGAAGCACAACACTGCTCTTCTTGGTTCGGCGGCGCCGGCGCGATCCCTTAGGCTACACGATAACAGAGGAAAGAAATGTCTGCTTTATTTTCTATACTTCCACAATAACAACAAAACGTTACAAATTGCTTTTGTAAAATAACAGGGAGCGCTTTCTGGCGCATCTTGTTATGTCTAAAGGTCTACTTAAATAAAACAATCGAAAACAAATTTGTGTTTATTTAATTCGTGTAGCCTAAATCCAACAAGAGGTTCTGTACAGTCTTTCCCGTCTGAGCTCATCTGTATTTTGTGCTCACACCCAGGCGCAGCGCAGCCTATTCCTTCAGTATAAAGCAAAGCCTGGAATTTTAGCCATAAGAAGAACGCGATGCGCGGTGCTATGCGCGGCTTGATTCAGCTAAAGATATCATTTAATAATATATAATCACTAATACATAATTAATATATAATCAGACTAAAGTATCAAAGTATGAAACAAATATTGAATCATAAGCTCATTTGTTTACCCACGAACAAAAATAGGCCTACGAAAAATCTAGCTTCATTTTCGTTTGCTCGTTTTCAAACAAAACGAAATAATAATAATAATCATTATTATTATTATTAGGCTATTATTCTTATTCTTATTAATATTATTTGGCTATTATTATTATTGTTGTTGTTATCATTATTATTAATTACGAGAAAAGATGTAGTTTTAACGAGAAAACGTAGTTTTAATGAGAAAACATGTCGTTATTACGAGAAAAGATGTAGTTTTAACGAGAAAACGTAGTTTTAATGAGAAAACATGTCGTTATTACGAGAAAAGATGTAGTTTTAACGAGAAAACGTAGTTTTAATGAGAAAACATGTCGTTATTACGAGAAAAGATGTAGTTTTAACGAGAAAATGTAGTTTTAACGAGAAAAGATGTCGTTATTACGAGAAAAGATGTAGTTTTAACGAGAAAAGATGTCGTTTTGACGAGAAAAGATGTAGTTTTAACAAGAAAAGATGTCGTTTTAACGAGAAAAGATGTCGTTTTCACGAGAAAACATGTCGATTTAACGAGAAAACATGTCGTTATTACGAGAAAACATGTCGTTTTAACGAGAAAATATGTCGTTATTACGAGAAAAGATGTCATTTTCACGAGAAAATATGTCATTTTAACGAGAAAAGATGTCGTTTTCACGAGAAAAGATGTCGTTTTAACGAGAAAACGTGGTTATTACGAGAAAAGATGTCATTTTCACGAGAAAAGATGATGTTTTCACGAGAAAATATGTCGTTTTAACGAGAAAACATGTCGTTATTACGAGAAAAGATGTTGTTTTAACGAGAAAACATGTCGTTATTACGAGAAAAGATGTCGTTTTAACGAGAAAACATGTCGTTATTACGAGAAAAGATGTTGTTTTAACGAGAAAACATGTCGTTATTACGAGAAAAGATGTCATTTTCACGAGAAAATGTCATTTTAACGAGAAAATGTCGTTTTCACGAGAAAAGATGTCGTTTTAACGAGAAAACGTGGTTATTACGAGAAAAGATGTCATTTTCACGAGAAAATGTCATTTTAACGAGAAAATGTCGTTTTCACGAGAAAAGATGTCGTTTTAACGAGAAAACGTGGTTATTACGAGAAAAGATGTCATTTTCACGAGAAAATGTCATTTTAACGAGAAAATGTCGTTTTCACGAGAAAAGATGTCGTTTTAACGAGAAAACGTGGTTATTACGAGAAAAGATGTCATTTTCACGAGAAAAGATGATGTTTTCACGAGAAAATATGTCGTTTTAACGAGAAAAAATGTCGTTATTACGAGAAAAGATGTCGTTTTAACGAGAAAAGATGTCGTTTTCACGAGAAAATATGTCGATTTAACGAGAAAACATGTCGTTATTACGAGAAAACGTCGTTTTAACGAGAAAATATGTCGTTATTACGAGAAAAGATGTCATTTTCACGAGAAAATGTCATTTTAACGAGAAAATGTCGTTTTCACGAGAAAAGATGTCGTTTTAACGAGAAAACGTGGTTATTACGAGAAAAGATGTCATTTTCACGAGAAAAGATGATGTTTTCACGAGAAAATATGTCGTTTTAACGAGAAAACATGTCGTTATTACGAGAAAAGATGATGTTTTAACAAGAAAAGATATAACGACATAACATCTTATTTCGACATAATTGAGTGGAAAAAATAATATGTGTGGCAGCAATGCGTCACCGTAATAATAGACATTTTTCCCATTCAGTATTTTTTTTTTCAGAGGCATATTCCTAGTAAGTTTGTATCCACATGACAAACACGTGTAAATGTGCCGTTAAAATGACATAACATGTCGTTATTACGACATAACTGAGTGGAAAAAAAAAATATGTGTGTGGCATCAATGCGTCACCGTACGTCACCGTAATAATGAGGCTTCAAAGGTCCTTTCAGTGTTTCCTAACAAGAAACAAAAAAGAACGTCGTTGCAGCACTGAATAAACATACCATGCTATTTTACACGTCTGTGAATGCAGATATAGGCTACCCAATAGTGTCCAAAACTGTAAAGTTAAAAAATGTGGTTAAATTAGACTCAATTAGATCAAACCTTTCATTTTCAACTAAATGTTTTTTTTCATTTGTAATTATCAAGGACTAAGGCATTTTTCTGATTGTTGTTGTTTGTTATAGATGTCATGTGAGCTCATTAATATTTGCATGTGTATTGCATGAAGTATGGCTCAACAACACATTCTATAGACCATTTACTTAATTTAAAATGGTCAAATCTTGCTGTTATCTGTGACTTTTGGTGCCATATTGAACTCTTTTAAAGGGATTACATGATTTGGCAATGATTTAAAATATGCTGGCTTTGCTGAATATCATACCTTAGTGGGGAAAAAATCTAGAAACTAATATTGTAAGAGTAGCCTTCCTGTTTGTTTCTGTGGCTTCAGTTTCTGTTGCTGGTCTTTTATTTGTTGTGACAAAAATCTACATGCACAGCCACAGACAGAACCAGAATCTTCTCAGTACATACAGGTGCATCTCAATAAATTAGAATGTCGTGGAAAAGTTCTTTTATTTCAGTAATTCAACTAAAATTGTGAAACTCGTGTATTAAATAGCATTGAATTTATTTAATACACGAGTTTCACAATTTGAGTTGAATTACTGAAATAAACGAACTTTTCCACGACATTCTAATTTATTGAGATGCACCTGTATACACTGCCATCAAAAATGGTGTTAAATGATGAAGAACAGCAGTTTGGAGAGGAGTTTTCTTTGCGTTGTAAGCCTTCCACATGCTATTGTTTCAAAGTGTTGGGGACTATGTGCAACATGCAAACATGCAAATGCAACATGCTGCTTTGACCTTTATTTTACTCAAATCGAAACACAAGTAGGTGTATCGCTCCATACCGCAACTTCCTTAAATGGCATCAAACTGAAATGAACGTAAAAATGTTTCCCTATACAGCACATTTAGACATAAATATAACACTCATCACAAAGTGATCAATGTTTTAATGCATCATGTATCAAGATTCAGTGTAATTCAACAAGAGAGGGACAAAACCACACTATAAAGTTAGAAAGACATTAAAAAAAGTACACATTTTGAGCAAATATACATTATACAAGTTAATTATCCAAACAAAACTATTATCTTTCAATAAAATCTTCCTAAGTTAATTTGTATTTTTCTGCAAATGTAAATTGCTTCAGATTATTTACTAATTAGCAACTAATTAAATACAAGCAAATGTGAATATAAATCAATATCATAAAGGCTCATCGTTTATTTTGTAATAATTGTGAAAAATGCTTTTGTCTATAAATATCCCAGAAGCAATTAACTATAAATGCTGTTGAATATTCTTGTCAATCTTACATTTACGCTTCAGTCTCCAGTGACGCCATCAGCACATTCCTAGCATCATCAGCGATGCCATTCAGAGCTTTCTTTAGCATACTTGAGACGGCCAGAAAAGACATTCCTCCTGCCACCAGAGAGCCAATAATGGGTATGAAGCTCACCAACATCTTAACACCACCTTTTGATGCAAGAAGAGATGAAGCACTCAGCAAGGTTAATATTAAGCTTGTAGTTATCCCCTGATGAAAAGGAGACTTCATCAGCCTCTTCAGTTCCTCTATGGTCCTCCCAGATGTTCTACAGAGCTTCTGAAGGGATGGATCATCCAGGCCAAATGCACTGTAGTACTTTCTCAGCTCTTTTGCTATGAGAGCTGTATCTACAGCGACCGAAAGACCAGGAATAGGAACTGTAGCCACCAAAGCAGACAGTAAGGCAACTTTTCCAATGTTTTCCTCTAGAGCTTTCTTCTTTGTCTCATTGATCTCGAGTGTGATATTCGGCAAAGCCAACATCAGCACACGTCTCTTATGCTGTGGAAGCTCTTGCTCCATTCTCTCCTGCAGCAAGTTTAAATCATACTTGCCGAGCTCAAAGCTAGAGATCAAAAACACAACAGGATCCTCTATACCGATCTTTCTCAGACCTAGACAGAAACAGGAAAGGACATCATGAAATAAGTAGAAAAACTACAAAATATTTTATTTTAATTATTGTATCTAATAAAAAAGATACAAATAAAAAAAACATTGTCATGTGAACTGAATAACTAACCATTTTCACAATCCTCTCGGATGGTATCCAGTGTCCTTTTCTGGTCAAAGCTCTTCTTCCTCTTCTCAGCATCAATGCTTGAGTCAATCTTGGAACGAACAAAATAAAACGTTTTCCCCATTCTCATGATCTCTTCGGCCAGCTGAGTGTGGCATTCTCTGAACCGATCTGAAGCGATGATGATGAAAAAATCATAGCGTTCAAACTCAACCAGTTTAAGGTACTCATCGGCTTTGAAGTTTGGTGTTCCAATGCCAGGAAGATCCCACACTTTCACATTTTTGTATTTTGGGTGAAGGTAAGCTTCAGGCTCCATAGTGGTTTCTACAGGGCCAGTTTGAGCAGAGCCCTCTTCTTCATCCCCTAAACCCCTGAATGCATTGACAAACGTGGATTTTCCAGAACCGGACTCCCCCGTCACACCAACGTTAAGTTCTACATGATCCTGTTTTTCAAGGAATCCTTTGATCGTGTTTACTGCTGTTGGGAGATTCTGAGTAGATATTAATTCTTTGAGATCTTCCAGGTCCTCCTGAGGTAACAAATTATCTTGAGATGTAACTGTAGCCATCTAAAAAAAGAATAATGTCAAATGTTATAAAAAATAATTGTAAAGCTATATATAGGGCTTACAAATGCAACTATAAATTGTTAGTATTTTTTGCAAATGTATGTCCTTGTTACGACCTTTTTTTTTGTATCTCCTTTTGTTGTATTGTACTGCTCTGTTTTTAAGCACTTTTCCACGTCAAAGACAGTTTTTTACAAATATGGGTGTTGGCATGGATTTAAGCGCACACACACTCTAAGATCAAATCTGTGCATACGCACATTTTATAAATGATGCCCCTGGTCTCGCAGAGAGGCTTTCGTTTTGTACTTATTTGTAGCAAGGCGCTATTGGACTCATTCCCCATAGAGTGTTTATGCAATGAGTGAACATCTCGAAAGGGAATGCTCTGGTTACTAACAAAACCTTGGTTCTTTGAGATAACAGGAATGAGCATAGTCTGCTGTGCTATAAAGCTGCACCTGAGTCGATGACTGTCGCTATTAGCCGAAAGATTCTGATGAAGTGACATTCGGCACAAACTTATATAGGCAGCTGGCTCCACACGATTTGGCAGGCTGAAATGGCATTGGTTCATGCAGCTTCACAAAAAGAACAAATCAAGCTTCAGTATTCTGAGTAAACAGAAGTTTCTCCACAACGCTCGTTCACATTATCTCAGGGAACTGAGGCTACTTTAGAAACTGTTTTCTGTGTTGGTATGTCAAATGGACCAACAACTAAACAGTCTTTTATAATGAAGGTTATTTTGCAGATCTCAGCATTTTCCCTTATAGAGCCTATCAAGACATGATTCTTTCATACTGTATTTTCAATACTTTAATATGAAAATGTAAATCATACAATTTTTCAAGTTTCGTAAAATGATTTGTCCTGGAAACATCAAGGGGTATTGTGCTTCTATAAAGCAGACATGTAGACATCAATCCGAAATGTACGTCTTAAATGCAAATGCAAAAATAAAGCAATGAATTGGTATGATCTGAAAACTGACTCTTACATGTTTTCAATCTCACCTTTATGTTTCAGAGCACGAGATGCAGGAAGAATTATTAGACAGAGAAGACAAGTGCTGTTGCTTCCTTCACGGATGTGAAATTCACTGCTGTTCAAAGAAAAGTTTGAAGTACATTCAATCAGTGCATTTTAATTCAATGCATTTTAATGTTAGAAAAAGCTTCTAAAAAGCATTTTACATTACAACATTGAAGAAGACTTTATATAAAGAAATTTACACTAAACGTGAGGTAGCAAAATACAAAAATGAGGATATCCCAGATAAACCTCATTTTACAAGATATTCCTGTCAAGAGTTTTTTTTTTTAAGTTCTTTAAACATTTAGAAGATCAGTGAAACAGTAAACATACATTGCAAAGGAGCCGATTAGCTTGTATATTTCTTACCAAATTCTTCTGAGCAGCAGAAGACCCTGACAGCATATGATCTGAAGTGAAGCCTGAAGCCCGGAACTAAACTTTTCTACTTTATGCAAAACAATAGCATCGAGATCCACCCAAGAAATACTTTCACTTTCACTGCTATTAATCACCATAGTGAGAGATTTTGTTCATATCTGTGCATTAATAGCAGTGAAAGTGAAAGTATTTCTTGGGTGGATCTCGATGCTATTGTTTTGCATAAAGTAGAAAAGTTTAGTTCCGGGCTTCAGGCTTCACTTCAGATCATATGCTGTCAGGGTCTTCTGCTGCTCAGAAGAATTTGGTAAGAAATATACAAGCTAATCGGCTCCTTTGCAATGTATTTTTACTGTTTCACTGATCTTCTAAATGTTTAAAGAACTTAAAAAAAAAAACTCTTGACAGGAATATCTTGTAAAATGAGGTTTATCTGGGATATCCTCATTTTTGTATTTTGCTACCTCACGTTTAGTGTAAATTTCTTTATATAAAGTCTTCTTCAATGTTGTAATGTAAAATGCTTTTTAGAAGCTTTTTCTAACATTAAAATGCATTGAATTAAAATGCACTGATTGAATGTACTTCAAACTTTTCTTTGAACAGCAGTGAATTTCACATCCGTGAAGGAAGCAACAGCACTTGTCTTCTCTGTCTAATAATTCTTCCTGCATCTCGTGCTCTGAAACATAAAGGTGAGATTGAAAACATGTAAGAGTCAGTTTTCAGATCATACCAATTCATTGCTTTATTTTTGCATTTGCATTTAAGACGTACATTTCAGATTAATGTCTACATGTCTGCTTTGTAGAAGCACAAAACCCCCTGATGTTTCCAGGACAAATAATTTTACGAAACTTTAAAAATTAGTGAAATGATTGTATGATTTATATTTTCATATTAAAGTATTGAAAATACAGTATGAAAGAATCATGTCTTGATAGGCTCTATAAGGGAAAATGCTGAGATCTGCAAAATAACCTTCATTATAAAAGACTGTTTAGTTGTTGGTCCATTTGACATCCCAACACAGAAAACAGTTTCTAAAGTAGCCTCAGTTCCCTGAGATAATGTGAACGCTCGTTGTTGTTGTGGAGAAACTTCTGTTTACTCAGAATACTGAAGCTTGATTTGTTCGTTTTGGAAATGTAAGCTGTTCTTGCAGCTCACTGTTTTAAATTAAAGGATTTGGACGATGACTGGTGATCTTTTATATGCTAATGGAATTACTTAAGGGTCGTTAACAAGGCAGAGAGCTGAAACCATTCAGTTGCGCGCAAGTTCAAGATAATTTGCGATTCATAGATTTCACATCTGAAAGAGACGCGTATGTGCGTTTTCTGTGCGTAAGTTCATTCTATGAATCACACATATACATATTTTTCTGTGCAACATTTTATAAACGAGGCCCCAGCCCTGGGGCACCCATAGTGAGAGCCCCTAAGAAGCATGAGCTCATAAGGGCACAATAGGCCTCGAAAACGAGACCCAGGTCACAAGGCCAGGGTCTACATCAAGAAAAACCTTTCCACTCACAAAGGGATTAGGGCAATTAGGCAGACAAGGTTATAAGATAAGGTTATAAAACCTAGTGAAGGTAGATGGTAAAGACTTGCTGGCTGCTGCACAGATATCTTCGATTGAGACTCCACTGGGACAAGCCCAGGAGGAGGCCTTTCCTTTGGTGGAGTGGGCCGTGTATGTCTGTATGTCCACTGTATGTCCACCGAGGTGTAAGCCAGGGCTATGGCATCAACTATCCAACAGGATAGTCTCTTCTTCATAACTGGAACCCCTTTAGAGCAGCCTCCAAGCATACAAAGAGCTGCTCAGATTGGCAAAAGTGGCTAGAGCGCTCTACATAAACTTTAAGAGCCCGGACCAGGTAGAGTAGATTAGGACCCTGCTCATCCTCTGAGTTAGGGCCTTCTTCGACTGAATTGGCCAGGGGGCTGCCAACAGCAGCTGAATTAACTCTGGGAACCACGTCTGGTTCCTCCAGAGTGAGGCCACCAGGAAGACAAAGCATTCAACTTCGCTGACTCATCTGATGACCTGAGGAAGCAGGGCAATCGTAGGGAATGCACACAGGCAAGTGCTGGGCCACTCATGGGACAGAGCATCTCCTTCCTCTCAAGAAATATATTGGGCAGTGAGAGTTGTCTTCTGAGGCGAAGAGGTCCACCTCTGGCCTCCCAAAGACATTCCATATCATCTGAGCCGCCTGGGGGTGTACTCACCTAACATTTCCACTCCTTGGTTCAGCCTGTGAACTGCCCTCAGTGAGCGCAGGTTGTACTGTGCCCATAAAAGAAGGCATCTTGCCATCCTGTAGAGGGACCATGACCTGAGACCGCCTTGGTGATTTATAAAGGCTACCACCATCCTGTTGTCTGAACGGACGAGGATGTGGTGCCCCCTTAAGGCTGGCAGAAAGGTTTTTAGGTTGAGAAAAACTGCCATCATTTCGAGACAGTTGATGTGTAGGCATTGCTCCAGGCTGGACCAGGAGCTGAATGCCAGTCTGCCCTCGCACAGTGCCCCCCAACCCGAGTTGGAGGCATCTGTCATGACCACCTTCCTTCTGGAGGACAATCCCAATTGAACGCTTGTCTGATACAGATGAGGTAAGTCACCTTGAATGGGTCAATTTGAGGTGATGGCATCCCAGGTGCCAAGCATGGGACGGTACACGGGCTTTGAGCCAAAAATAACGGGGCCGGATGTGAAGCAGGCCCAGTGGAATCATTGAGTGTGCAGGGCCAGAGACAGTCCAAAAGACAGGACTGTATATTGATAAGCCACCCCCTTGAACGGGAATCTCAAGAATGGTATGGGATGAGATGCTGTCTGGATGTGAAAGTATGCATCTTTCAGATCCAGTGATAAAAACAAACCCCCTGGGCATATTTGCACAAAGATCTGCTTCAAAGTCAACACCCTGAATGGGTGTCTCATTAGGGCATGGTTCAGGTGTCTGAGATCGAGGATGGGCCTGAGCCCACTATATTTCTTGGAAACAAGGAAGTAGCTACTGTAAAAGCCTGACTTGCTGATCACTGGAGGAACCATCTCCATAGAGCCTTTTGCTAGCAGACTTTGCACTTCAGATCGGAGAACATGTGTAACATTGTCCTGTACTGAAGTTTAAGTAACACCTCTGAAACGAGGGGGTCTGCAACTGAAATGGAGCGAGTAGCCTCATTCTATAGTCAGCAGAACGCAACTTGACACGCCCGGGATGGCTCGCCCAAGCCTGGAGCCGGGTGGCAGGTCGCTGTGGCAGGTCGCTGTGCAGAGGCAGGGAACTGACATTCATGCTGTAATGAAGAGGAGAAGTGCTCTTTTGAGTAGGTGGATCCACTATAACAGCAGCAATTTACTCATGCACGTGCTAAGTGGGAAGGACAGGCCAAGCATGAACAATGCTTCCATCGCCTGGAACTAAACAGGGGACTGTGCAAATGTGAGACTAATTTCGGGGCGGTCCGGCCTCAGCCTTGCTGGGAAGATGGAGCACTCTGGCAACATGAACCAGCTGCTGAACTGGAATGCTTGGGCAGGAAGTGGCGCATGGGCTGCCA